TCTCCTCTCGTGTACATTATAGTCAATGGAACATTCAATTAACTGCAATCAAAGTAATCAGGCCGTCAATTAATCAGGCCACCTTAAGGAGAAAGAGGAAAAAGATAAGATACCAGAGATTTAGTGAGAAGAGGGAAGAAACTTCCAGGGGTTGTGCTGGGGTCAGTGTACATTCAGCCCAAAGTCATGTCCTTTCTACCTCTTCGTATTTAGCTCTGAACAATGCAGACTGAAATTCATAATGATGACCTTGACATCTTATAAGATTCATCAAAGCAAGAGTGCATAGTGTTTGCCAGACAGGATTTCCTAAAACAGGAAATATACATATAAATTTTTTTTGAGAAAGAGTCTCACTCTGTTGTCCAGGCTGGAGTGCAATGGCATGATCTCAGCTCACTGCAACCTCTGCTGCCCGGGTTCAAGTGATTCTCCTGCCTCAGCCTCCTGAGTAGCTAGGGTTATATGCACCTGCCATCACACCTGGCTAATGGTTGTATTTTTAGTAGAGACAGGGTTTTGCCATGTTGGCCAGGCTGGTCTGGGTCTCCTGAACTCGTGATCCGCCTACCTCGGCCTCTCAAAGTGCTGGGATTACAGGTGTGAGCCACCATGCCTGGCAGAGGCTCAACCCTTCTTTTAAGACATCTCTCAAATTTGTTCCTTCTCTTTGCGTCCCAAGTGAGACCAGTTGTCACCAATAAACCAGCATTTATTGTCACAGTGCCTGGATGTTACTCTGCCAGCTCAATATTATTGGAGTCATCTTCTCCTATGTCTTCCTGCTCCTAGTCTCTCTGTCCCTCCAATCAGGCAAACACCTTGCAACTGGAGTGATCTTTTTGTTGTTGTTGTTATTCGTGAGAAGGCGTCTCACTCTGTCACCGAGGCTGTAGTGCAATGGTGTGATCTCGGCTCACTGCAACCTCCGCCTCCTGGGTTCAAGCAGTTCTCCTGCCTCAGCCTCCCGAGTAGCTAGGATTGCTGGTGCGTGCCACCATGCCTGGCTAACTTTTTGTATTTTTAGGAGAGACGGATTTTCACCATATTGGCCAGGCTGGTCTCGAACTCCTGACCTTGTGATCTGCCCAACTCGGCCTCCCAAAGTGTTGGGATTACAGGCATGAGCCACTGAGCCGGGCCTGGAGTGATCTTTTTAAAACTCCCTGTATCATGGCCCTCCCTGCTTGAAAAAATCAAAATCCCCCAAATCCCATTGCCTAGGGAATGAAGTCCATACTTTGCTTCTTAGGGCTTGGAAAATTCTTCCTTCTTGGCCAGGCGTGGTGGCTCATGCTTGTAATTTCAGCACTTTGGGAGGCCGAGGCGGGCGGATCACCTGAGGTCAGTAGTTCAAGACCAGCCTGGCCAACATGGCGAAACCCCGTCTGTACTAAAAAAATACAAAAAAATTAGCTGGGCATGGTGCTGTTCACCTGTAGTCTCAGCTACTTGGGAGGCTGAGGAAGGAGAATCACTTGAACCCTGGAGGCAGAGGTTGCAGCGAGCCGAGATCGTGCCATTGCACTCCTGCCTGGGTGACAGAGAGAGAGTCTGTCTCAAAAACAAAAAAAAGGAAAAAGAAAATTCTTTCTTCTGCTGTTTAGGGCTTTTTACAGCGTTGTGCTAGGTGGGAAATAATGGTGGGCACATGGGAGGTGTTTGGTAAGTTTTTGGCAATGGAGTAAACCTTTAGGAATAAGATGTGAAGCTCTCTCCCGCTGCCTTCCACCGTCTTCAGTCTGAAAATTTCTTTTCTCGGCCGGGCGCGGTGGCTCACGCCTGTAATCCCAGCACGCTGGGAGGCCGAGGCGGGTAGATCACGAGGTCAAGAGACGGAGACCATCCTGGTCAACATGGTGAAACCCCATCTCTACTAAAAATACAAAAAATTAGCTGGGCATCGTGGCGCGTGCCTGTAATCCCAGCTACTCAGGAGGCTGAGGCAGGAGAATTGCCTGAACCCAGGAGGCGGAGGTTGCGGTGAGCCAAGATCGCGCCGTCGCACTCCAGCCTGGGTAACAAGAGCGAAACTCCGTCTCAAAAAAAAAAGAAAATTTCTCTTCTCTCCTTTTGGCTTTTGAGCACTTGAAGTTTCACGGTGCTGAATTTGGAGGCTGGAAGAGGCAGCCAGGGGTGATAACAAATGGCTCAGGAAACCTCAACTCTGAGTCCACCGCAATTTCCGATGCCTGCTACATCGGAGGCTCCATTAAGAAAGCATATCAGTTCTCATGTCCCTGGCTCCCCTGCAGCGCTGCGGACCAAGAACTAGCAGTGGGAACCTTGCATCTTAGTTTGCTTTAATAAGAAGGGGAAATGGGAAGTAGAAGCAGAAAGGAGTGAATGTAGAACAAAGCCTTGACTGATGTGAACCACTTATGAAGCTCAGTTTGTTGTTGTTGTTGTTGTTTGTTTGTTTTTCGCAAGACAGGGTCTTGCTCTATCACCCAGACTGGAGTGCAGTGGTGCGATCATGGCTCACTGCAGCCTTGACCTCCTGGGCTCAGGTGATCCTTCCACCTCAGCCTCCTGAGTAGCTGGGACCACAGGCTCACGCCACCATGCCCGGCTCATTTTTGTATTTTTCTTGTTGTTGAGATAGGGTTTTGCCATGTTATTCAGGCTGGTCCCAAACTCCTGGGCTCAAGTGATCCGCCCACTTTGGCCTCCCAAAGTGCTGTGATTGTAGGTGTGAGCCACCGTGCCTGGCCTCAGCTGTCTTCAGAGGACCCCTGGGACAGAGAATACCCTGACTCTCACTGAATGATGGTATATGGTTGTCTGTCAAGAGGTCTCCACTGAGAGTGTGCAGTGTGAGATACGTGAGGGTAATGAACTTGCCACATGGCATTCACTGGCACTAGCCCTGTCGCTTGCCCTGGGAGGATCCAATGACACGGAAGAGAGTGAGATCTAAAGTTGTGTGAGGGGGCTGTCTGGGAGCCAGTTCTGACAAGATCGGCTGCTGAGAAGCTCCTCCTCCCTCCCAGTCCACCCCTTTCAGGGTGAAAATGTGCCCTTATTATGGACCTAGTCTAAAAGCTGGTCCAGCACAAAAGAAGAGCTGCCTGTTAGTGCAGCCTGGGATGCTGGGCTGGGCCTCCTGGCATTCACCATGTCCTTCTTGGATTGCTCTTGGCATCTTTCTGATTATGGAAAACTTGGTGCGGCCCCACCCAACAGAAACTGACTCCTTCCATAGTACTCCTTCTTGTCCAGCTCAACTGTCTGCAGCTTCCCTTCTCCCCATCCCCTCCCCTCCCTGGTGGCCGTTGGTTGGTCGTTGACACATTTCTTGAGCCCACCCAGGCCCCTGTCATGCTTCCATTGGCTTCTTGGAATCCTGCCCCAGTTTGAGGCTCCCCCTGTTTTATAAAATCATTAACTATAAGCAGCTTTGGGCCTTGCAGGCGAAGCAAAGGCCCTCTGCTTTCCATGGCTGGGAGTGGTTTGGCTGACCCTTATGGAATCAAGGGACCCAGAGGAAGCATGGAGGCAGCTTCCTGCAGCCATAGGGAGCCAGTGTTCCATGCGGTATCCTTCAGGCCGGGGGTGTAAGGATAACCCCACCGTGACTAACAACAGCAGCTACTGATGATTGAATGCTCACCACATACATGCTAGACACTACGCTAAGGGCTTGAGGAGCATGAACCTGTGTAATCCTCACACTCCTACTCGATAGTTTCCGATTTTATGGATGGGGAAACCTTGAGAGGTTTCTGTAACTTGACTGAGGGTGACACAGCCAGGAGGTAGTGGAGGTGGGACTGTAACTCACACCTGCCAGATTTCAAAGCCTCTGCTCTTAACCTCTACACTATGCCGCCTTGGTAGATCCACAAAATGTCCTAGAGAGAGGAACAATTGCTTTTTTTTTTAAAGATAGGATCTTGCTCTGTTGTCCAGGTGGGAGTACTGTGGTGCCATCATAGCATACTGCAGCCTCTACCTCCTGGACACAAGCAATCCTCCCACCTCAGCCTCTCAAGTGGCTGGTGTTACAGGCACATGCCACCATGTCCAGCTAATTTTTGATTTTTTTGTAGAGACACTATCTTGCTGTGTTGCCCAGGCTGATCTCAAACTCCTGGCCTCAAGTTATCCACCCACCTTGGCCTCCTAAAGGGCTGGGATTACAGGCATGAGCCATTTTGCCAGCCAATAATTGCCTTTTTTTTTTTTTTTTTTTTTTTTTTTTTTGAGATGGAGTTTCATTCTTGTTGCTCAGGTTGGAGTGCAGTGGCATAATTTGGGCTCACTGAAACCTCTGCCTCCCGAGTTCAAGCAATTCTGCCTCAGCCTCCCAAGTAGGTGGGATTACAGGCACCCACCACCGTGCCCGGCTAATTTTTTTATTTTTGATAGAGATGGGGTTTCACCATGTTGGCCAGGCTGGTGTCGAACTCCTGACCTCAAGTGATCTGCCCGCCTTGGCCTCCCAAAGTTCTGGGATTACAGGCGTGAGCCACTGTGCCTGGCCCAATAATTGCTTTTTGAAGTCTTTTCATAATACTTACTAAACACTTCTGCCTGTACTAAGCTCGTTACATGTATTAGTGCTTCTGAGGCTCCCAGTCACTTCTAAGATATGCCATATTATCTCAGATGGCAGATGTGGAAGGAAACAGTCTCAGCGAGTTACTCAGCTTGTAAATGACAGTGAAGATTCAACCTGAGTCTGTGAACCTCCAGTGCCAGCATTCTCTTCCCCTGACTCCACCCTCCTGCCCCCAGTAAGCCCCTCTGTAATTTGCTCTGTCTGGGGCTGTGGCGACATTCACTATTGAGCCTAGAGGATGCCTGTTTCTAAGAATCTGTGATTTCCAAGCTGATGGGCCATTTTGCTTTGGAGCAGGGAGTAGTTGAGGGAAGAGATGACACGCTGGGCCTGGGCGGGTGTGACTTCCTTGCACGGCGAACATTTGGATGGAGAAATGAGACCCAGACTGCTTTTAAGCACATTTTCATTTTCTCCCCGACCCCTTCCAAATTAGGGTGAAGGTTGCCGAACTGTCCCCCTGGCTGGACATGTGGGGTTTGACAGCTTGCCTGACCAGCTGGTGAATAAGTCCGTCAGCCAGGGCTTCTGCTTCAACATCCTGTGCGTGGGTGAGTATTTCCATAGCAGGAAATTCTATTACAGAATATGAATCCTTAATGGCTGGATGTGGCTTTGCAGGTAATTAGGTTAAATAGTGTGTCATTCTGATTTAGTTGTGAGAGCATCTCTCCTCTCTCTTTTATCTCTCTGCCTGTTTTATTGTAAGCAGCTGGTGGTAATTACTTTTTTCTCCTGGCCAGACCAGAGTATAGAGCCATCTCCTGGGGGAAAACAGCTACGTGAGACCCCATGGAAATTTTGTAAGGGAGCTGGCTGGCTCAGTACTGCTGCAGAGTTCATTTTGACTACAGAGGACAGCAGCCAGGGCAGAATTAGGAGGGAGGGGATAGCTGAGGAAAACCGCCTGCCCACCAGCTGTGGGCAGTGGGTTGGGTCTGTCTGTTTCCTCTGTAGTTTTGCTGTGCTTGGTTTAGTCAGAGGTCAAGTGCAGGGACCACACAGCTGTATGCAAAGTTCTTTTATTCCCTTTACCAACTCTCTACCTAGACTTTTTTTTTTTTTTTTTTTTTTTTTTTGAGACAGAGTTTCCCTCTTGTTACCCAGGCTGGAGTGCAATGGCGCGATCTCAGCTCACCGCAACCTCCGCCTCCTGGGTTCAGGCAATTCTCCTGCCTCAGCCTCCTGAGTGGGTGGGATTACAGGCACGCGCCACCATGCCCAGCTAATTTTTTTTTAGTATTTTTAGTAGAGACGGGGTTTCACTATGTTGACCAGGACGGTCTCGATCTCTCGACCTCGTGATCCACCCGCCTCGGCCTCCCAAAGTGCTGGGATTACAGGCTTGAGCCACCGCGCCCGGCCGACTTTTTTTTTTTGGGATGGAGTCTCACTCTGTTGCCAGGCTGGACGGCAGTGGCACAATCTCGGCTCACTGCGGACTCCGCCTCCGGGGTTCGAGGGATTCTCCTGCCTCAGCCTCCGGAATAGCTGGGACTACAGGTGTGCACCACCACGCCCAGCTAATTTTTGTATTTTTAGTAGAGACAGAGTTTTACCATGTTGGCCAGGATGGTCTCGATCTATTGACTTTTTGATCTGCCTGCTTTGGCCTCCCAAAGTGCTGGGATTACAGGTGTGAGCCACCATGCCCAGCCGACTTTTTTTTTCTTTTTTGAGACGGTGTCTTATTATGTTGCTCAGGCTGGTCTCAAACTCCTGAGCTCAAGCAATCCACCCATCTTGGCCTCCCAAAGTGCTAGGATTACAGGTGTGAGCCACTGTGCCCGGCCTCTACCTAGACACTTAACCTCACCAGTGGGAACCAAGTCTTAGCCCCCTCTATATGCTAATCACAGCACAAGTAGAGTTCGGTAATATTTGTGAAATGAATGAATGAGTGAATCCCACAGGAACCATTCATTATACTTTTCACTTTCTCATATTAGCTCTTTTGGGCATTACCAGGGCTCTTCGAAGTGAGCATAGCATTTGTATTCTTGTGAAACAGGTGGAGACACAGAGTCTTGGGGCGGGTAAGGGACTTACCTGAGGCAACACAGACGAAATGGCACCATAATGAGGGCTCAGGCCTGGCTGACCCCTTGTTTTTCCCACAGCTTCTCTAACTGCTGCCAGCAGCATCTCCCGAGCACATAAACACTTTGGAAACCATTGAGCACCAATCAAACAAATATGAGGGATAACAGTTCCTTAAGAATCTCTTCTTAGATCTTAAATATCCCAAATTTGCAAACATGATTATAGCATATAATTTTCACCCTGTAGTGTGGGAAAGCATGCCTGTATATTTCCAGTGACCTCCTTCTGAACCTTAATAATTGTATAAATATCAGAATACATTTGGTTTTCATACTGGCTAGAACACTGAAACGCTTTTGCTAATTGCCTTTTATTTTTGTATAGAATGTATGGAGAACTCGTTCATATAGTAGATCTGAACTACCACTAAGTTGGATATTTTACTCTTTAATGTATTCAGAAATTCTGTTTTCTTTTTTTTTTCTTTTTTTGAGACAGAGTCTTGTGCTGTCACCAGGCTGGAGTGCAGTGGTACCTTCTTGGCTCACTGCAACCTCCACCTCCCAAGTTCAAGTAATTCTCCTGCTTCAGCCTCCTGAGTACCTGGGATTACAGGTGCACGTCGCCATACCCAGCTAATTTTTGTATTTTTAGTAAAGACAGCGTTTCACCCTGTTGGCCAAGCTGGTCTCAAATTCCTAACCTCAAGTGATCTGCCTGCCTCAGCCTCCCAAAGTGCTGGTATTACAGGTGTGAGCCACTGTACCCGGCCTAGAAATTCTATTTTCTCACTAAGGTCATTCATTTTCTTGGGCTCTTTATATTTTTTTCCTCTCTATCCCCAGCATTCTTTTCCAGGTCACTTTCTGTGAGAGAATTGCTACATACTCAAGGACAAGTAGAAAACAACAGATGATGGGCAGTTGTTCTCACGAGCTGGGCTCACTCCTTAGCTAAATGACTCATTCCCACACACCAACTTTGGTTTTTGTTATCGTTGTTGTTTGAGACAAAGTGACCCTGTGTCACCCAGGCTGGAGTGCAGTGGCATGATTCTTGGCTCACTGCAGCCTCAACCTCCCAGGCTCAAGCAGTCCTCCCACTTCAGCCTCCAAAGTAGCTGGGATTATAGGCATGCGACTGGGCTCATTTTTTGTTTATTTCTTGTAGAGATGAGGTGAGGTCTCACTGTGTTGCCCAGGCTGGTCTCGAACTCCTAAGCTCAAGCGATCCACTTGCCTCAGCCTACCAAAGTGCTGGGATCACAGGCGTTAGCCACGGTGCCTGGCCCACATCAACTTTGGAACCTATCAGATGAAAATATGTGCATCAGTTTCATTCAACAGATTTATACTCAAACTTGTTTTTAAGATGTGACTTCTACTACGTATGTCCTTGTTCATAGGGAGAGAAATATACCTGGACGCATTAGTGAACAAAAGAGTACATTAAAAAAAGAAAGAAAATATGTGCCTCACAGAATTGCACATCAAGGGCCTTAGAGTCCAGATCTAGGCTGTTAATTCTTCAAATGCTGGAAGTCTAACTCATGGTTATGATTAGGTGCTATTTGGGGAAAAATGTGAAATAACTAGAAGTCATAGTCATCGACATCAAGTGCAAAGACTATCACGTCCAATGTTAGCACTGCCAAATCTCTGTTTAACTAACAAGAGCTCCAATCTTTGGCTGATGGCCAACTTATTTCACATAATATTTGATTACCACAATATTTCAGCACAAACATATCAGAGTCCTTTGGCATTCTTCCCAGACAGAACTCCATATGACCTGTACTGAAGTTGAGATGAGAAGAGAAATGACAGACCCAACCTAAGCAACCTTTCTTTTTTTTTTTTGAGACGGAGTCTGGCTCTGTTGCCTGGGTTGGAGTGCAGTGGCTGGCACAATCTCAGCTCACTGCAACCTCTGCCTCCTAGGTTCAAGTGATTCTCCTGCCTCAGCCTGCTGAGTAGCTCAGACTACAGGTGTGCACCACCACGCCCAGCTAATTTTTGTATTTTTAGTAGAGATAGGGTTTCACCATGTTGGCCAAGCTGGTCTTAAACTCCTGACCTTAGCTGATTCACCTGCCTTGGCCTCCCAAAGTGCTGGGATTACAGTTGTGAGCCACCGCGCCCGTCCTAAGCAACCTTTCAACCAGTGCGATTGGGTGGGCTAGTAAAGCATTAGGAGGGAGGCCATGTGACTTGAACTGGATCTCTGAGCGGGGAAGTGTAGGGTAATGTGATATATGGAGCACAGGCTCCCCTAGGGCCCAGAGAAAGAGGTGGCCAAGCTCAAGGCAGAGTGGGTGGGAGAAGTAGTAATCCCCCATCCTCTAGTTTCCATCTAAACATTGTACAGCTACAAATGCTTCCACTTGCACCTACTGGGATGGAACTGTTCAAGTGCCAAGGACAGACCCTCCGAAGGGGAGGAGTAGGAAGGAGATGCTCTCATTCTCAAGGAGTCATAGACTCTCTTTTGCTCCCCACTTGTCAAATTTCAGGAAATGGCTGCCTCTGTAGCTCCTTTCTTAGACCCCCAGGTGCAACCATTGGATAGACCAGCCCTGACTGGGTTAATTTCATCCCTGTTCCAAAAAACCCTGCAATGCATGCATCCTGCCCTCTTGCCGTGCTCACCACCCTTTCATTGCTCAGAGAACCACAATTTGGGCCAAGGTCATGAATAGCTTAGAGTAGCTCTGAAGCTGCAATGTCAGCCCAGCCATGGGGCTGGATCCAGTCACTGACTTGGCAGAGGGTCCATAGCTTAGTTGCTGAAGGTCATCTTTTATCTTGCAGAGCTTTTTGTAACCACAGTTTCATGCCTACTGCCTGTGTACATTTACTCCCTTAAGGACTTACAAAAAAGATGCTGTTTGGGCATAGAATATATTTCCTCAAAGTATTTTCTTTTCTTTTTTATTTTTTTTGAGACGGAGTCTCCCTCTGTTGCCCAGGCTAGAGTGCGGTGGATCTCGGCTCACTGCAACCTCCGACTCCCAGGTTCAAGCAATTCTCTTGCTTCAGCCTCCCGAGTATCTGGGATTACATGTGCACGCCACCATACCCAGCTAATTGTATTTTTAGTACAGACGGGGTTTCGCCATGTTGGCCAGGCTGGTCTCGAACTCCTGACCTCAGGTGATCTGCCTGCCTCGGCCTCCTAAAGTGCTAGGATTACAGGTATGAGCCACCATGCCCAGCCAAGAATTTTTAATAATCCAGAACCTAATTTATATGTAAGAATACCAATAAATGGTACCTACAATTATTATTATTATTATTATTATTATTATTATTTTCGAGACAGAGCCTCACTGTGTCAGCCAAGCTGGAGTGGAGTGGCACTATCTCGGCTCACTGCAACCTCCACCTCCCAGGTTCAAGTGATTCTCATGCCTCGGCCTCCCTAGTAGCTGGGATTACAGGTGGGCGCCATCATGCCCAGCTAATTTTTTTTTTTTTTTTTTTTTTTGTATTTTTAGTAGAGAATGGGT